TTTCGATTTTTCGAGCACTTCAGTGCTGCACTTTTCGATTTTTCGTGTTTTCGACTTTTTGGGCCTCTTCGCGGGGCGGGACACTTCTTGACTTTTCAACTCTTCGATTTTTCCGGGTTTTCTCAAGGCGCAGCATTTTTTGAATTTTCGACTTTTCGACTTGTCGACTTTTCACGCAGCGCTGCATTTTTCGATTGTTCACCTTTTCGTTTTTTCTGTCGTCTCGCATGGTGTAGAGCCTCTTGGGGGTTCCCCGGGGCAGGTGTTTTCGCATGGTGCCTACCGGGCGGGACTTTTCGCATCATGTAGAGCCTTTGGGGGCCGAGTTTTCGAGGGCCTCTGGGGGCCTCCCCGGAACGGGAGTTCGGGCCTCTGGGGGCCTATCCCGGGGCGGAAGCTCTCGCATGGTGTGGGGGCCTCTGGAAGCTTTCCCGGGACGGGGGTGTTCGCATGGTGTAGGGCCTCCAAGACCCGAGGAACTTCCAGGACGCCGCCAGGAGGCCCTGGTGTCAGAACACGGGCCGATTTTGCCAAAACTTGTTCCGATTCAACTAAAAGCCCCCCGGGAGGCCCTTAGGAAGCTTCCCCGAGCCTAGTGTAGGGCTTCTGGAGGCGTCCCAAGGCGGCAGTTCTCGCATGGTGTAGTGCCTCCAGGGGGCCTCCTGGGCGGGAGTGTTCGCATGGTGTAGGGCCTCCAAAAGCCTCCCAGGCGGGAGGTTTTCGCATTGTGTAGGGCTTCTGGGGGCGTCCTGGACAGGAGTTTTCGCATGGTGTATGGCCTCCGGGGGCCTTCCCGGGGTGGGAGTTCTCGCATGGAGTAGAGCCTCTGGAAGCTTTCCCGGGACGGGAGTGTTCGCATGGCGTAGGGCCCCCGAGGCCCCGGGAACTTCCAGGACGCTCCCGGGAGGCCTCGGTGTCATAACACCGGCCGATATTGCCAAAACTTGCCCCGATTCCGTCAAAGTCGGCCGGTGTTATGACACCAACAGCCCCAGAGAGGGACCCCAGGAGGCCCCTTAGGAAGCTTCTCCGAGCCTGGTGTAGGGCCTCTGGGGGCGTCCCAGGGCGAGAGTTTTCGCATGGTGTAGGGCCTCAGGGAGCCTCCTGGGCGGAGTTTTCACATGGTGTAGAGCCTGTGGGGGCCTCCCTGGGGCGGAGTTTTCACATGGTGTAGAGCCTCTGGGGGCCTCCCTGGCGGGAGTTTTCGCATGGTGTAGGGTCTCCGGGGGCCTCCTGGGCAGGAGTTCTCGCATGGTGTAGCGCCTCTGGGGCCTTTCGCATGGTGCAGGGCCCCCCAGGAACTTCCTGGACGCTCGCAGGAGGGTGGGTCGGGGGCGCCGCGCTGGCCCGCCCGTCCCTCCACTCTTATCCGCGATTGCGGAGTCGGGTCGGCCGCTCCCTCCTCTCTCCCACCTCGCTCCCTGCTGTCTCGTCGGCCTCGTCGTCGTCGCCGCCGCTCTCCGCTGCCCGCGCGCTCCCCCCCCGGCCCAATAGCAAGGCTCCAGGGGGCCCTCGGCTGCAGAGGGGCCCACACCTCGGCATGGGCCCGCGGCGGGAAGCCCGCCGCGCGCACGAACTCGCGGGAAGATCAGCCACAGGCTCGGTCCAGGCCCTTCCACATAGATTTGCCCCAGGCGTTTCCAAATCAGCCGCAGGCTGCAGTTCCTTCTGGGCGCCTGCGGCGCTGCTGCTTGCCTGAACATGTGCCAGAGGACGTCCGTGGTAGGCACGTCCGTCTGCGATCGACCTGGCGGGGGGCGCTCATTTCGAGTCGCCGCCGGCAACGCGTCGACTGGCTACCTGGGCCACTTCCCCACGTTCGAGGCAGCAGTGGCCGCATTCGAACAAACGGGAGGCGAAATCAGTCGGAGGAGCGTCAGCCCGCCAGCACCACTGCCGCAACGTGCTCGGATTCTGGCCCGCTTCCCTGCCACGCCGTCCCGACGGACGCCTGTTTCGGTCAGCCCTCTGAGTGGCGGTTCTCCGTGTCAGAGGCAGATGCCAATTGGCGCCGCACCCTGCGGGCGCACGAGAACGCCCACATCGAGAGCATGACTTCCCATCGCGACTTGATAGCGCAGGCAGTCCTCATGACCCAGGTTGCCAAGGGCAAGTGGAAGTGCGGCGCGTGCGGAGGCGAGGTGGGTAAGCTGCGGCCCGCTCTGTCGCATCGCTGCCCTGGGCCCGCCCAGCCGCCGCCCCGCGAGCCGTCTGCGACGGCGTCTCAGGCGCGCCGCTTGTCCACTGATTTGAGGGCCCCCGTCAACGAACTCCACGGAGGCCATTCTGGAGCAGCTGCGACATCGGTGTTTCCAGACGTTCTTCGCGGTCGCTTCGACGACTATGCCGACTCGTTCCAGCGCGCCAGGGCCGACGTGGAGATGCGGCCGCACGTCGCCTCAGCGATCCACCTTGCCAGTCAGGCGCCGACCCCTGCGGCGGACACTCTGGTGGGCGCGTGCTTCCCGTGGCCCAGGGAGAAGAACGCGCTCGCATGCGTCCTGTTGGCTCGGCCGGGCGGCCGAGTGGGGGCGGCGGTGTTCACGAGGGGGCCGCAGGACGCCCGGAAAGCGTGCGCGCTGCACCCCGACGGCGGCGGATGTTGGCGCCCGTGTCTACCATTGTCCAGAGGCGCGCGAAGGGCGTCGTGCGCTTGCACCAGCGCTGCTTCCAGGTATTCCGGGGGCGAGCGGCGGTGGGGATGAGGGGGGCCTGGGGCAGGCGCTAGGCCACTTGCCCGACCCCGCCGCGCGGCGCGCCCAGGCGGCGCGCGGCGAGGCTGTGGCTCAGCGCTTGCTCTCGGCCTCCGCAAAGGAGCGTCGGCGCGGGGGAGGGCGCCGGGCCATCGACAGGCAGTGCGTATTCGATTTCGTGTAGTCCGTCGCCGAGTCGCTGGGCATGGGCGAGCATGCCGACCCGAGCGCGCGGGCGCCGGCCGCGGCCGCTGCTTTCAGGCGCGCCGTCGTGACAGACATCGCCTTCAAAACGTGAATGCGACCAGCCGCCCGCCATTGTTCGCCGTGGCGTCAAGGGCCGAATGATTTGGATCAGCTCGGCCGGGTGCCGCCAGCTGTGCCGGCGCAGGTGCGCCTGCAATGCTCGCGAGTGCCACTGGCTTGCCCCGCGTGGCGCTGCCGCGGCCAGCGCCGATTGCATTGCATTCGGAGACATCATCGGCCATTTCCTGGTGTCCGGAGATTTCTGGGCGACGGCGTGGCAGTTTTTTCAGGGCACCGAGTGCTTCGGAGCCGTGGGGGGGAATCTGAGGTCGCGCGCTGCCGCCTCGCTGCGCCAGGCTGCGTGCGAGCGCGTGGGGCCCTCAGCGGGGCAGAGAAGTTGCTCGTCCACGCCGCGATCTCGACGTTCTGCAGCCAGACGCCAGAGAGCCAAACCATCAAAGCTTGGTTTATGACGTGGTTCGATTGGGTAGCGCTACCCACCGCCCTGCCGCCGGCCGCCCAGCTGTGTTGCGGTTGCGGCGGCGTGCTCAACATTTATTTCTCGGCGTCCGACGCGCGCCAGCTCCGCCCGCGGCGCCGCCGCGGCGGGGGCCAGGCTTTCGCCCCGCCCCAGGCCGCACCCGGCGGGGGGAAGTCGCGGCAGGCCCGCGCCGGCGACGCGCCGATGGCCCCGCGCTCGGGCCAGGGCGCGCCGCCGCGCACAGCCGCAGGCCCAGCAGATTCGGCCGAGCGCGTCGCAGCCGCCGGCTCCGCAGTCGGCGCGCCGGAGGCGCCCCGCGGGCCGCGGGCCGCAGCGGGCGCGTCGTCGGCCGCGGGCCCCAGCGGGCAGATGGCGACCGCCGCAGGCGCTCCGTCGGCCGCAGGCCCCAGCGGGCAGCCCGCGCGACGGGCCGTCGCTGCCGCCGCTGTCGCGGCCGAGTCACCTAACGTGGGGGGCCGTCACCGGCGCCGACGACGCGCCCTTATTCCCGTGCTTGTTCGCGCCGCAGGAGAACCGGCTGGCCAAATAACATTAGATACTTTTGTGTTTCGCGCTTTTGCGAAGGCTGAATCTGCGTCCAGCAGGCGTCAACGCGGACGACCTCGCCGCCGATTTCCCACTGCTTGTCAGTTGCTTCGAGTTTTCGCTGTCGCCAGGGACGGTGGTCTTCGAGAGTGCGAGGATCGCCCCGGCGGCAGACGCCCTCGAGGCGGCAAGATCGTCGTGGACACGGAGGGCAACGAGGTCATGGGCTTCAACCTCGGCCAGGACGCCCTCCACGTGTACCATCGGCTGCTGGAGACCTTTAACAAACGCTCCCCCGACGCAGCCTTCGCTGTCAAATGTCTGCGAAAGTGGATGGGCTCGGTCAACCTGGCCGCGCGGTTTGGCGGAGCGGAGCTCGAGCACAGGGGCCTCCTCAAGGGCAGGGGCGGCCCCCTCTGGCCTCCCGCGTCGCCGCCCCGCGCCGAGGATTGGCGGGGCGCGCTGCGCGCGCGTGTTTCAGCTGCGAGCCGGCCCTGGCGTATTCTTTCGATTTGTTAGCGGCCGTTGCGCAGGGGCCCTGGAGAAGCGGAGACGGGGCCGCCGATGCCGCTCGCGGCCAAGGCGGTCATCCTGGACGACGTCGCGCCTTCGGGGCCGCCAGCGTGGAGCAGGCGCCGTTGCGCGATGGCCTTCCGCGGGTGCACGCGCGGGCGGGCGAGCCGCCAACCCGCGAGAGCATTGCAGGCGACCTTGAGAATTTGGCGACGCTCTTCTCGAAACCGATTTTCGACGGGGGCTCGTCGGGGAGCCCCGCGTTGTTTCTCGCTCAGGCCGCGTGCCTGAAGCGCGCCCGAATCCGGCCCGCGGGCCCCCGCGGGCGCTCGAGAGCGAGGGCGCGACCCTGGGCGCGCGCCGCGGGCGAGCTCCCGTCGGCCGCCGGCCGCGCCAGGGCGAGCTCGGGCTCGAGATCGGGCTCGGCCAGTTCCACCTCCGGAGCGAGCCCCTCCAGCTCCGGGTCGAGCTCTTCCAGCTCCGGAGAGAGCGATGTCGAAGAGGGGCCGACGGACGCCGAGGTTCGACGCATAGTTGGCGGCGCCGCTTTCACCAGGGCAGCCTCGACCCAATGCGAGCGGGTCAGAGTCAACGGAGTTCGAGCTACCGCTCGAAGTATTGGGCGACCGCGCATGGCGTGGAGGTGTCGTTGGGCGCGATAGGCACCGAGATGCTCTGGCGCAACCCCCAGAGGTGCGCGACGAATAAGGGAAGATCCTTGGCCGACTACGACGCGGTAAGTCTGTTGAGCGTCGTTGCGCTGGCTCGCCCAGGTCAGCGCGCGGCTCTCCTCATCTCGCCACCGCGCGACCTCTGCGCGGCGCCAGTCCAGGGCGCGCCGCGCCCAGGACAGTTCGCTGCACGCAGAGTGGTTGGCACTCGCCTTCCTCGGGCAGGACGCGGCCCAGACGCCGCTGCTCGGGCGCGCGGGGGCATCGGGTGCGCCGATGGCGCAGGCCGAAGACGTCGGGCTCCTGCGCGCGCTCTTCCGACGCCTTCCGGGCCGGTCCGACGGCCCCCCCCGCCGCGGGGTCAGCCGCAGGCTCCGCCACAGGCGTTGTCCGAACAGCCAGTGGCTCCGCCGCAGACGCAGCCGCTTCAGCCGCGGGCTCGACTGGCCGCGCGAGAAGGCCGAGGGCGCGCCGCGCACTTGAAGCTGCATTTGAAATTTCGCCCCTCGCGTCCCCAGGCCGTGGCGTGGGCAGAACTCCAGGCGGCCTCCGGGATGGAGAGTAGCCAATTAGTTTTTGCCGTTTTTCATTTGCCGCGTGGTCTCACAGGAGTGAGCCGACCTCGAGGCCGCGGCGGGTGGACCCCGCTGACAGGCGCCGCACCAAGGAGCATCCTGCTGTCAGTTGCGCGGAACCCAGGAGAGGGGAAAATCGCCCGCCCGCCCGACCCGAACCGCCAGCCAGAGTAGCGGCCGTAAGGTCCTTGATCTCCTGGGCCGTCCCGGGGTCATGTCCTGGTGCTGCCTGGGCCGTCCTTCGCCCGCTCCTTGATTTCCGATTTTTCCCCACATCCTGAGTGGGGTTCTTGTTTTCCCAGAACACCCTCTCCTTCCCACCCACCTCCCGCTCCATCTTCCATACAGCACAATATTATTCCTACCACACACACCATACCATACCATAGTTCCTACCACACATACCATACCATACCATACCATACCATACCATACCGTACCAGTACCCCTACCGTACCCCTCCAGGGAGGCCCCGCCTGAGCGAGGAGGGTATCGGAATACCATACTATTTACATGGTTTCGTGCCCCTCCCACCCCTCCAGGGAGGCCCCGCCTGAGCGAGGAGGGTATCGGAATACCATACTATTTACATGGTTTCGTGCCCCTCCCACCCCTCCAGGGAGGCCCCGCCTGAGCGAGGAGGGTATCGGAATACCATACTATTTACATGGTTTCGTGCCCCTCCCACCCCTCCAGGGAGGCCCCGCCTGAGCGAGGAGGGTATCGGAATACCATACTATTTACATGGTTTCGTGCCCCTCCCACCCCTCCAGGGAGGCCCCGCCTGAGCGAGGAGGGTATCGGAATACCATACTATTTACATGGTTTCGTGCCCCTCCCACCCCTCCAGGGAGGCCCCGCCTGAGCGAGGAGGGTATCGGAATACCATACTATTTACATGGTTTCGTGCCCCTCCCACCCCTCCAGGGAGGCCCCGCCTGAGCGAGGAGGGTATCGGAATACCATACTATTTACATGGTTTCGTGCCCCTCCCACCCCTCCAGGGAGGCCCCGCCTGAGCGAGGAGGGTATCGGAATACCATACTATTTACATGGTTTCGTGCCCCTCCCACCCCTCCAGGGAGGCCCCGCCTGAGCGAGGAGGGTATCGGAATACCATACTATTTACATGGTTTCGTGCCCCTCCCAGGGAGGCCCCGCCTGATATCGGAATACCATACTATTTACATGGTTTCGTGCCCCTCCCACCCCTCCAGGGAGGCCCCGCCTGAGCGAGGAGGGTATCGGAATACCATACTATTTACATGGTTTCGTGCCCTCCCACCCCTCCAGGGAGGCCCCGCCTGAGCGAGGAGGGTATCGGAATACCATACTATTTACATGGTTTCGTGCCCCTCCCACCCCTCCAGGGAGGCCCCGCCTGAGCGAGGAGGGTATCGGAATACCATACTATTTACATGGTTTCGTGCCCCTCCCACCCCTCCAGGGAGGCCCCGCCTGAGCGAGGAGGGTATCAAGAAAATGGGTCCCACGAAACCGTTAATCTCTTTATGTGGGGAACTCCGTTAGCATAATTTGAAGCTGGCCCCATGGCGAATAACGACATAAAATCGCCGCGGGTTTCCCGTATTTTCTATGCCCAAAAGTCGAAAAAGTCGAAGAATCGGTCGATTCGGCAGAAAAGAGCAGAAAAGCAGACAAGTCAAACAAGTAGGCACTGCGCGAAAAAAGGTGGCGCGGCTTCAGGCCTGACTGCAAAATCTTGCCCGAGGGGCCCAGGATGATCAGGAGGGAGAAAAGGGGGAGAGAGGTAGGAAAGGTGGGCGGGGGACCAAGGAGGAGGGTGACTGGCGAGCTGGCTTATCCAGCCCAAGCCGAAAATTCGGTAAGTCGAAAAGTCGACAAGTCAAACCTACAGTACGCGGGTGTCATGGGAAACCCTGCACCGCGCGAGAACTCGCGTCCCGGGATGCCCCCGCAGGCCCGACGCTATGCAAAAACCCTTTCCCTGCGAGGCCCCAGGAAGCTTGACGCCACGCGAAAACTGACGCCTTGGGAGGAGGCCCGGGGAGGCCCTACACCATGCGAAAACTCCCGCGCGGGGAGGCCCTGGGAGGCCCGACGCCATGCAAAAAACCTCAGAGGCCCTGCGCCATGCGAAAACTCCCGCCCTGGGAGGCCCGGGGAGGCTCTACGCCGTGCGAAAACTTTTTCCCAGGGAGGCACTCGGAGGGCCGACGCCATGCAAAAACCCGCAGAAGCCGTGCACCATGCGAGAACTCCCGCCGCCCTGGGAGGCCTGGGGGGCCGTGCGCCATGCGATATCCTTGGAGGCCCTGCGCCATGCGAGAACTCACGCCGCGGGATGCCACCGGATGCCCGACGCCATGCGAAAACCCCCAGAGGCCTGACACCATGCGAAAGCTCCCGCCCTGGGAGGCCCTTGGAGCCCCGACGCCATGCGAAAACCTTCGCCGTGGGAGGCCCCAGGAAGCCCGACGCCACGCGAAAACTCCCGCGTTGGGAGGAGACCGGGGAGGCCAAACACCATGCGAGAAGTCCTGCCGGGGGAGGCTTGGGAGGCCCGACGCCGCGCGAAAAGCCCCCCTGCGCTGCGCGAGAACTCCCGCCCTAGGGGGCCCTGGGAAGCCCTGCGCATTGCGGAAACGCCCGCCCGGGGAGGCCTTGGGAGGCCCGACGCCACGCGCGACAACCCAGGGACCTTACACCATGCGAAAACTCCCGCCCTTGGAGGCCCAGGGGGGCCCTGCGCCACGCGAAACTTCCGGAGACCTTACACCGTGTGAGAACTCAAGCCCCAGGATGCCCCCAGAGGCCCGACGTCATGCGAAAACTCCTGGAGCCCTGACACCATGCGAAAACTCCCGCCCTGGGAGGCCCCCGACGCCCGACGCCATGCGAAAACTCACGCCTTGCGGGGAGGCCCAGGGAGGCCCTACACCATGCGACAACTCCCGCCCTGGGACACCCTGGGAGGCAAGACGCCATGTAAAAACCATTCGAGGCCTTACACCATGCGAAAACTCAAGCCCTGGGAGTCCCGGGGAAGCCCTACACCATGAAAAAAACACCCGCCCCGGGGGGCCTGGGGAGACCCTGCGCCATGCGAGAACTCACGCCCTGGGAGGTCCGGGGAGGCCCTACACCATGCGAGAACCCCCCGATGACTTACACCATGCGAAAACTCACGCCCCGGGATCCACCCGGAGGCCCCACACCATGCGAAAACCCCGGGAGACCTGACACCATGCGAAAATTCCCGCCCTGGGAGGCCCCTGGAGGCCCGACGCCATGCGAAAACCCTCGCCTTGGGAGGCCCCAGGAATCAGGAATCTCGACACCACGCGAAAACTGACGCCTTCTTGGGAGGAGGCCCGGGAAGGCCCGACACCACACGAAAACTCCCGCCCGGTGTGGTTTTGGGAGGCCCGACGCCATGCAACAAGAAACCAGAGGCCCTACACCATGCGAGAACTCCCGCCCTGAGGGGTCCGGGGAGGACCTGCACCATGCGCAACCCCCCAAAAGCCTTACACCATACGAAAAATGTTCGACTTTTAGATTTTTCAATTTTCAAGCTTTCAGTTTTTCTGCCGTGCTGATCGACTTCTCGACTTTTCCACTTTTCAGCCACGTGGCCATCCCTAATTACTTTTCAATGTTTCAACTTTTTGACTTCTTGACTTTTCGATTCTTTCTGGAGAATTCAACGATTTTCAAATTTGAGCCCGGACCAGATTCTGGGTGCAGTGCCCTCCATGCTCGTCTCCTCTCCACTCTTCCGTCCCCTCCCTGCTAGTCTCCTCTCCTCCCTCCCGTGGCCTCCCCCCCTCCTCGTCCTCCTCCTCCTCGTCCTCCTCCTCCTCCTCCTCCTCCTCTTTTTCCTCCTCCTCCTTCTCCTCCTCGTCCTCCCGGTGGGGGGGCGCCACGGGCGCCCCCCCCACCTCAAGAGACGTCCCAAGAGACGTCCTCCTCGTCCTCCCTTCCGTGGCCTCCCCTCCTCCTCCTTCTCCTCCTCCCCTCCCGCTCCCTCCCCCCCTCCCGTCCCTCTCACCTGCCCCCAACCTGCCTGAGCCCCCGCCGTTCTCTCGCCTCCGCTGCCTCTGTTCTCCTCCTCCTTCTTCTTCACCTCCGCCCCTCCCGATCCTCCCTCTCCTTTTCCTCCTCCTCCTCCTCCTCCTACTCCTCCTCCTGCTCCTCTTCGTCCACTTCAGGAGCACTGCCTGTAACGTTCTTCTTCTCCTCCTCCTCCTCCTCCTCTTCCTCCTCCTCCTCCTTCTCCTCCTCCTCCTCCTCCTCCTCCTCGTCCCGCCGTTGCCGTGGCTCCTCCTCCCCCTCTTGCTCCCTTCTCTCGTCCCCCCCCCCTCTCTCCCGCGGCCTGCGCGCACCTCGCCCTGGGCCTGCCGCGCGGCCGCTTGGCTCCCGCGCCGTGGAGCTGTTTTGGGGCGATCTCCCGGGGGGCCGCGCGCAGAGTCCTTTCAGTCCGCCGCCGCCGCCGCCGCCGCCGCCGCCGCCGCCGCCGCCGCCGTCGTCGTCGTCGTCGTCGTCGTCGTCGTCGTCGTCGTCGTCGTCGTCGTCGTCGTCGTCGTCGTGGTCGTCGTCGTCGTCGTCGTCGTGGTCGTCGTGGTCCTCTTCGTGCTCGCCGTTGCTGTGGTGGTGCTTGCCGTCTCGGTCGTGGTCGTGGTCGCGGTCGTGGTCGCTGTGGTCGTGCTCGCCTTGTTTCCTGGCCGTGGCGGTGGTCCTTGCAGTCGTGTCCTCGTCATCCTTCTCGTCGTTTGCGTCGTGCTCCCCTCCAGCGCCCGTTCTCATGCTGCTGCTGCTGCTGCGGGTCTTGCTGCCGCGACCTGCGACATTGTTCGGCCAACGGGCCGAGGGCGAAGGAACGGCTCCCGTTTCTCGTGCCGCTGCTGTCTCGAGTTCCGGGCG